AGAGAATCTATGTAAAAATCAGGTACTATATATAATTTTTAGGAATGAGAAGCAGGTGTATAAGATAAAGCTCTAAAAACAGAGTTTGGCATTTAAGAATGAAAAAAAAATCATCCTTTTCTTGGAACATTTAAGGTAGTTCATCCTAAAACAAAACTGTATTTCAGCAGAGACTTACTTGTTTTTTTCCGTGTATCAGAGACAAGACATGGATTTTATATTAATTTTTATACTTCACTAGGAGCTTAATGTGTTCTTTGTAAAAGTACTTGAGGGGAGCCCCACAGTAGTGGTGTTCTGGTTATTATGCAGGTAGGTTTTGGGTGGGAAACATTCTATGTAGAAACTGGTGCAAAACTGATGGTGTATTTTAAATAGATGACTATTCTGACAGGGGCTTTTCCTTTCACACACTTGGCAATGCTAAGGAATAAGCTTCTTTACACAGAGTGGATACAGGTAGATAAGCTGAATAGATGCTCTGTAAGACTGTCCCTTAGGAAGTTATTTCAAATGAAACATTTCCGTTTATCTCTGGAGTGAAACTTGATAATCAGGAAAACATCTAGAGTTCTTAAGCACAAATTCTTTCATGAGTGGAGTAATCTCAGCTATGATATTGGTGGTCTCTTGACATCCCAGCAGGGTGATTGATGTGTAGCAAGGTCTGTGTCAGCTTATTTTTAGCAGCATAGATAAGGAAGGATGGAAGCACCACAGGTCTTCGTGCTTTTCAGCAAACTCACAGAAAGCCACAGTATCACTTCTCTCTTTGAAAACCTGGGGTTGTTCAGCCATATTTACAAATAATAATGGCTGAAGTTGTGTCCAGTGTGATCAGGGAGCTTAATATTTAATTTCATAGCTGCCTGTGGTGTGCCCTTGAAGCTGTGTCACAGGACAGATACCTGCCTGTGGGAATTGGAAGTGCTCTCCAGCAACTGAGATGCCTTGTGCTGACAAGTCCTTGGTGAGTGTGAACTCTCACTGTTTTTTTCATCAAGGTGGCTGCTGGGGAAGCAGGTCCTGCGACAGCTGTGCCAAAGAACAAACCCTAATTTATTTTAAAATGTGTTCAGAATGTAGCATGTGAACAGGGGTGTTCCAATTATGTATATTGGTCAATATGATATCTCTTTCAAATCTAAATAAAATGCATAACTTTTTACATGTAATTCCACAGAACCTACTAGTGTTATTGTAGTATACAATAAATCAGACATAGTGTAATATATATTTTGTTCTGTGGGATAGTTGCATGTGTGTTTGGCTGAGGCTAGACTTTGCAAACCTGTTTTCTATCCCTTTGCTCTTGTGTTGTCATTTGTATCAGTGCAAGTAGGTTTAAACTGTGGCTAATTCAGGGATGTGGAAATAACTGCCCAAAAGTGCAGAGACTCAGACTTTGTTGTAGTGGGTATTGCACTGTGAAATATATTTCCTGTTAATTTCTCTTCCAGAGCACATTTGAAAAAAATACCTAAATTTTGAGGAAAGGGGTGGTGGTGTGTTTGGGTGTTTTGTGGTGGGTTGTTTTTTTGGTTTTGGTTTTTTTTTTTAGTTTTTTTGTTTTGGGTTTGGTGGTTTTTTTGGGTTTTTTTTTTTTTTTTAACAGAAGAGCATACAGAGTTGCTTTACCAAAACTTTTTTTAAAATTTCAAATATAGTGCTGAAGTCATATGGACAAAGGACATTTAAATGAACAGCTATTAAAAGTTGTTACAGTCTTCTTAATTCCTCCTTGAAAGCATCCTCAGTTTTGTCTGACATGGACCTAAAACCCCCACATGCCATTGTGAAAATATCCCTAATGATCTGCTAGTTCTCAAGGATGTATCAGAGTGCTGCAGCTAACACCCGCTAACACTGCTCACTCCAGTGCTGGCACACTTTGCCTGATGGGTGCAAAATCTCTCCTGAAACACATCTAAGGCAAGAAGTCAGGATCTGCATTGACTTTCAGGATCATGCAGCAAGCAGCAAAAAGAACTGATTCTCAGTGTCAGAAGGCTAGGCTGAATGCCTGGTCCTTTCCCTCTTTGGATTTCTTTCCCCTCCCCTGTTTTTTTCATGCAGGAAATGGAAGTGTTACTTGTCTTTACAAGAATTTAGCAATTTTCTTTTATTTTAGACCATGATAGTTAAGCACTGTGGCAAGGTATTCTCTTTTTCTTTTCCTCTTTATTTTTTTCTTCTCCCCAGGACTGAAATTAAAGTAGAGCTCCTATGTTTAACACAAAAAAAGACTAGGGGAGTTATGGTGAATATCTTTGCTCTGAGACTTATCCTTCCTTAAATTTTATTTTATAAAAATTAATGTGCACCTGACGAAGAACTATGGGGGGCACACACTTGTGGAAGTTGCTGGAAATAACTCCCTTCCTTGCTTTAACTTGTTTGCAGCGTTTCTGCAGAAGAGCTACAAGGACTTTGTTTACCAAGTACAACCTACAGCTAACCTCTGGCACCAGGTCCAGGAGGCTGCTCTGCTGCCTTCTCTCTTTGCTCAGCTGGCCTCCTGCCTAATCTTCCTGCTGTAACTGGGATGTTTGCAGTTACTTTCCCTCTCAGTCACAGTTTGTGTCAAATTGTGTGGTCAGAAAGACACAGACAAGATTGTTTGTAGGCTTCTTAAATTAGACAGCTGCAAAAAGGAGATGATCCCTGAAGTACACAAGCTGTTCTCTAGGCTAAGATTAATAATCTTGTAGTTTGAAGAATGCTAACTAAGCTTCAAAGAGTATTTTCTCCCTGACATCTCTTCATATAATCCTGTATTTATTAATTACTTTTTATGTCCAGGAGGGCCTAAATTATTATTGACCCTGTCTCCTGTTCAAGAGTCCATTATATTTCAGTCACAGGGCAATGACTGATATTTGGCCAAAGCAGAGAGTCCAGAGAGGTGTTTTGCTTTGTTAATGACCGTGGCTGTTAGTACTTGTAAGTGCTCTTGGTTAAGTACTCAAGTGAAGCAGGATGCCTCTGTTACAGTAACTGGATCAAATCTTCTGCTATAAGCACGTAAAGGCATTGAAAAGAGTAGTTACAAGGGATCTCTGGAGGTTTCTCATGAAACTTCTGGCTTACCTTCAAATCTGGATCATGCTGGTCTTTGCTCATGATCTTTTTCAGTTGAACTTGACCTGTCTCAATTCTGAATCCTCCTGTGCTGCCAAGTACAAAATCTCATGGGGAAATTTTAACTCGGATCCATTAAAAATTTCAAGCGTATCACATCCACACAGTTGTTACTGCCAACATAATCTGTCAAATAACGAAAATCTGCTCATGGCATTCATTGGTTTTGTTCATTAAATCATTGTCATAAACTCTTTCATCTAAGAATCTCAAAATTGACCGAGGCATTGACGTGAACTTTTGTGTGAAATTTGCCATCAGTGGATCCAGTCGAGCCTACCTCATGGCTGAGGTCTCCTTTGCTGCCTCAGTTGTGAACCTTTGCACCTCTGGCTCATGCCAGGAAATGAAAATGTGTAAATAGCTTACACTTAGGCTGCTTCCATCACAGGGAGATCCAGGCATTTCTGAAACACCAGTGCAGTGCAGCCTGTGTGCTGCTCCTGGGAGCTGCTTCATCGCCAGTGGTTTGGGGCAAATAGAGGAAGATATGGGAGCAAAGAGTGAACCAAAGTAATTGCACTTCTCTAGGTCTCATGGAAGTATAATAACAGATTGAAGTAAAATCGCTGTGTTTGAGAATTCATCAGAACAGCCTTTGTGTGAAACCTAATAGGGTCCTCTCCATCCCCTCTTTTTGTGTTGAAAGATGGATTATGTGGCCTGAGAAAATCTTTAAATCTCTGTTTCGGTCCTTGGTCTCTGAGACAGATTTTCTATTGTCATGTATAACTGCCTTTTATGATAGATCTCAGAAAGAACCACTGCATTTTTTTGTGCCAGCAATAAAAAGAGATAAGATAATTTCAAGAGTTTTCAAGTTTTACTCTTGCTGATGATCAGCTTGCCGCAGAAACTCTAAATGATGGGTTGGTGCTACAGCTAAGCTGATATAACAGCTATTGCTAAGTCAGCTCCCCTCCCTGTCCTGTCCTTGGTCTCCTGCTAGTGCTGCTCTGACACCAGAATGAGCCAGCCCACAGAGCTCAAACAAAAAGAAAAAAAAAAAATGCTCTTTTTTTGTGTGGTTTTTGGGTTTGTTTTTGGTGGTTTTTGTGTTGTGTTTTTTTGTGGGTTTTTTTTGTTGGTTTTTTTTTTGTTGTTGTTGTTGTTTTTGGGGGGGGGTTTTTTGGTTTTTTTTTTTTGGGAGGTGTGTGTGTCTTTACTCTTAACTGTGAACTGCCAGGACTTTAGTTTTGCAATAATTTTGGATTGATGTAAGTGTGCTGTGCTGTGTAAACTCCAGCTCATCCCTGCTTGTGCTCCTGCTGGATCTCATGGCCCCAGTGTTGAGAGGCAGATCTTGGTTCTGATCTAGAGGAAAATCATCCCCATTCCACTCTCTAATTCTTCTTCAAGTTAGTTTAGGGATGCTTTCTTGCTATTGTTGATTACATAGCTATGGAAATACTAGGAGGAGGGGACAGGACTTCTTTTAGCTGGTAATTTCCACTTGTTTTGACTGAGACATAACACGGAAGAGCTACTTCAGATATCCCCTTGTAAAACTATACCTGTTTGTTTTGCTGACACTAAATAATTTAATCTCTACTTCCATTGAAGATAGTGAAGAATACAGCCTGATGGAAAGAAAATATATAGGATGTGAAGAGAGTGAAGTATGGATAAAACATAACGTGGTCCTCTTCAGAAGCCTTTTTTCTTTCAAAGAATGGAGACTGGTGTCAATAAGGAAAACATGATCTCTAAAACATTCCTTCATTTTATGTTAGTTATTTTTTTTCCAGAAGAGGGCGAATTTAGGATGGCACATCAAGGGGCAAATAAACTATCATGAGTTGACTATTTCATTTAGGAAATGCATCCTTCTGACTTTGTTTTCTTTCTTCTGCCCACAGCACCTAGCCAAACTAGTGGGATCAGCACCCTGCCAACAGCCACCTCACTCTCATAAACCCACAAAGCCCGAAAAAGAAACTGAGCAAATATTTCCTATGGTAAGTGTGAAAACCCCAGCCGTTGCTGGCTCCTTTCAGCTGAATTTTGCTCTATAATTACTAAGCTGAGTGTATGAAATTAAAGCTGTATTTTTCAGCAGCTTTTTCCATTGGCCTTACCGGAATGCATTTGGTAGGTATTTCTACAGAGTCATTATTATTTTACTGTCATCACCACCAGAGAAAAGCATTGTGGTGCAAAGACTCTATAGCATGCACATGACTAAAGAGGAGTCCTGTGGCACAGCAGATAATTTACCAGTACAGTACTCTGCAACATCTCCCCTGCCTCCCCCACCATGTCCAGTCCCCCTCAGCTTTTCAGTTTCTAACATCCCTTTAAAAAAATTTATTTTCTTGTGGAAGCCCTGGCTCGTGACCCTCCAGAGCTGCAAGGTTAGAGCTTCCTTCTTGAAAAGCTGATAGGAGAGCAGTTGTTATGAACTATGATACATGCAGTCGGGAAGAGATTTTGTGGCATTATAAACATAAGGAGAAAGGCCAGTTCATGTTACGCACTTATGAGTGCAGCACAAAGGCAATGGAGATGGTTTGGTTTTAAAAACTGTTTTGTTTCTTGTGCTTTGCTGTAAAAATCTATCTGCTGATACAGTGGGGAGGTTATTACAGACTGCTGCAGGATGGATAGCTGAAGATTAGTCTGGCGGTCAAGGGAAGCTGCAAAAGCAATTATTCACGAGCTCACCTTACTCTTCCTTCTGACAGCTGGGAAATAAGTTTCTAGTAAAAATATAGAGGGTGGTTACCTCCTCTATATGTCTTTCCCTATTTCCTTGCTTCATGTGAATACTCTGACAGTTCTGCTCCTGAGTTAGATTTTTGAGCTTTTGTTGTTGTTTTAGGTTACAGACCATCTTTGTCAATTCCTGGCTTGGGCAGTTTGTGCTATATTTCCACACTGAAGGTCCTGGCAGTGTATCCACAGCAGTTACTGGAAAATAGGAGAGACAGAGACAGCATCGTACACGTACTGAGCTCCCTTAGGATTCTGTTAATAGAACTGAATTTAGGAGCAGCATGAAATCCATGCATATCATTCCCTGATGGCTTTAGAAAGGGTGCTCAATTCATTTGTTTGTCAGCGAAGCCATGCCATGCCAGCTCTGACTTCGGGCTGGAGAAGACCACACTGCATTTTTCACTGTTGCAGACAATGGAGCCCAGTTTGGTTCCCACTGGTCTTTCTTGAAGAGATGTCCAGCTACCCCAGAACTTCATAAGCCACTGAGTGGCACAACCAGCTGCTGAGGCAGTCTCAGAAGCATCATGCACCTGGATTCAGCTCATTTATGGTTGGCACTGCTTGACTTAGGTTTGTGACTGCTCCCAGTCCTTCTTTGAGTTCCTAGGAATTCCTGCATCAGAAATAGTTGCTCGTGAAAATAAAAGTATTGGGAAAAAAAATATGTGAGCATGTCAGGAGCCTGAAAGTCATCTACAGCTGCTTGTCAGAGTGGGCACATCTATCATATAGGTTGTGCTGGTTTTGGCTGGGGTAGAGTTCACTTTCTTCACAGTGGCTGGTATGGGGCTGTGTTTTGGATTTGTGCTGAAAACAGGGTTGATAATATTGAGCTATTTCTTTCATTGCTGAGCAGGGCTTGCACAGAGCCAAAGGCTTTTCTACTTTTTGTACTGCCACACTGATGAGGAAGTTGGGGGTGAATGGGAGGCTGGAAGGAGACACAGCCAGGACAGGTGACCCAAACTGAGCAAGGGGACATTCCAGACCATATGACACTGTGCTCAGTGTAAAAAGTAGGAGAAGAAGGACATGGGGGGATGTTTGGAGTGATGGCCTTTGTCTTCCCAAGTAGCCATTGCATGTGATGGGGCCCTGCTGTCCAGGAGATGGTTGGATGCCTGTTTTCCTCAGGGAAGTGAATTAATTGCTTGTTTGTGTGGCTTGTCCTTTGCCTATTAAACTGCCTTTGTCTCAACCCACAAGTTTTCTATCTTTTACCCTTCTGATTCTCTCCCTGATCCTGCTGGTGGGAGAGTGAGCGAGTGGCTGGCTGGGGTTTGTCTGCTGTCTGGCTGGGATTAAACCACGGCATAGGTCTACATGGATAATCAGCTGCAGAACTGAACTTGCACTTTTGATATTTGGGTAATGCCCAGTACCTCTGTGTAGACAAATCCCTCCCTCTCTAAACTTCTGCAGTATGAGCAAACAGCAGAGATGACAGTGCAGCTGGCTCTTTTCTGACTCACTAATTCCTTTTAAACCTCCCATTCCTTTGCAATATGTTCCTCACTTGCTGCTTCTCTCAGTCCTTATTTGTTCACTCTTTTTTACACCAAAATGCTGCCCAGCTTTAAAACTTTGGTGTAAAGGCCCAAGGTTAAAATAGAAATGCCTAATATTCGGGGTGGTAGGGAACCTAGGACCTAGTGGTTGCAGAAGTGCTGGCATCCCACACCTAATTAGGGGCTCAGGGACAGATTTAAAGCCCACAAACATCTGTTCAGGCTCTCTCTCCTAGAGGGAGATAGGGACACTAGTTGAAGTTGGACACTAAATATTTTGTGAAATCCAGGCCATGCCTTGGTGGTTGGATGATCAGAAAATTCAAGTCCCATTGATTCTGAGTGGTGGAGAATATCATGTGTCACTTGTGTGTTCTGGAAAATGGTTCCTGTAGGCTATTAATTTCTGGCATCCATTTCTAAAAATCTTGAGCTGGAGTTGCTAAAAGTTATTCTTTAGGCCCAGTTCACAGCTCGAGGACCGTTTAAAATAAAGCAGACTTTTAAGTGACTTTTATAAGATAATAATTTTAGACATGGTTAATTAAATTGTTTAATTATTTCAAGAACAACAGCAAATCATTGTGTTTTTTCCTATTTGTTCTTTTTCTCCCCCAGCAGTTGGTTTCCTCTACCTTCATTGCCCAAATGTAAATGGGTGCAGAAACTTCCAGATGAAAGTTATGACATAACTATATCCCTAGTGATTGATTTTTGTTTTCCTCTGTGAAGTCCACACAATGGGAGGTGGCTGCTTATCACCGAGTAAGATCATTGAATGATTTAATGGGGGCTTAAATGAAAAGTAAGAGTTTTCATACTGGTGTGATGTAAATCCTGCGTCCAATTAAAGCCTCAAAGCATTTTTTAAAAGCTGTATAAAAGGTGAATCATTTCTGTAAACAGCCCTTAAAGTGAAAACCCAACACCTTTGCTGTGGGAGAAGTAATACAATCTCAAATACCTCTGCAAACAAAGAGTCCCTTGCCTTCTGCGGGCTGCACTCTTTTTTTTTTTTTTCAGCAGCTCAGCATGGGGTGCCAGAAAAATCATTAACGGGCCCATCTTGCACTTCTGGCTTTTCCACACCTGCGGATCACGATCTCTGCTGTAGCTTTATGGACCATGAGGAGGCAGCTTTGACGCCATGAAAGACAGGCTCAGCCAACAGCTGCAGGATGAGCAGAAAGCCAGACAGTAAAATGTAAAGAGGAGGAAGGAGAGGCATCACCTTTGAAGTTTACAAAAAAAAAAAAAAAAAACCAAAAACAAAAGCATGACTTTGACCACTTCCTTTTTTCATTAGCTGTCTCAGGTACACTGAGCCACCGGTTTGAATGGATACTGGCAGGGGGTTGTTGGAAATGTTGAAGGTAATATTGTAAGGGCTTCAGCACAACTACTGCTTTTTAAAATTTTTTTCCTCTTTTTTTTTTTTTTTTTTTGGTTGTTTGGGGTTGGTTTGTTCTTCTGTTTTGTTTTGTTCTGTGTTGTTAAGTTAAACATCCTAGCATGATATCAGGGAAAAGAGTTCATTTCACTTGGGAAAGCCTGAACTACAGCCAAAATCTGTATCTTTTGCAAGTGTGAGAAACAACATTAAAGCTATGTTGAAGGGTACTTGGATCTACTAGCCAGGAAATTGATGATTACCACTTCCATAGCAACCGGGACACACCTCCAGCACACACAGATTGATTTTTTTTTTTTTTTGTTATATGTATATAGTGTTAACTTTTGCTCAGTATCCATTCTAGCACCAGGAGGCTGCTTTTGATTTGTACCACTCTAGCTGAAAGCTGAATTGGAGGGATCCTGTAAAGGAATTGCAGTTGCTGCAGGAAACAAACTTTCCTGCGCCCCCAAGAGGCCAAAAGTTCACTTTGAACTAGTATGTCCCTACTCCTGTCTGTGCATGTTAAAATGTGCCCGGGGAGAAAATGCAAACTGCTGTTGTCGTCGATATAGGAACTATACGCATTTAATTTACAAGGCTTAAGAGTAAATATTTTGATATTTATATATTTATATGTTAGGGTCGTATAAAACTCTAATAATTCAGAACTGAATGAGCTATCTAACAGGCAGAGAATTTGGATGGGGTGATGAAAGGATGATACAATCAAATCCTGAACAAGTTCAGTGAGTATTGCTCAAGCCTCAGAAAATTAATTTGGGAATTTACTGGTTATACAAAAAATCTTTCACACTGAACGGGGAAAAATAATGAACAGAATTATCTACTGGCCTGCTGTAAAGTGCAGAGTGATCTCACAGTAAAGTCCAAAGATGTAATAACAATGACATAAAACTTCACTGTGCTTTGAAAATGCAGTAGTCTTGAATCTGTTCTCTGCCTGAAAACAAAACAAAACAAAACAAAACAAAAAAAGAAAAAGAAAATAAAAAGTAACGCTCGACATTACTATAAATCCACCAAATTCAGGTAGAAATTTAGCTTTATACAGGAGTTCAATGTGGTCCAGTGTGTCAGTGTGTTTTAAAAACTTCAAAAAAGGGAAAAAGGGGAAACCAAACTGAATTGTGTTACACACAGGCGATTTGCATAATTTAAAGAAAAATTGTTGGAGCATGAAGTAATTTTTCTCATGTGATTTTTCTATACAATATTTCTGAGCAGAAAATTAAAAAGAATGCTTAAATTAATGTTGATAAACTGCAGTTGAAATACATATTTTGATAGGTAAAGAAAAATACTGATGTAAATTAGTGTTAAGATATTATTTAATTTATTTCTACATAATCTATTTTTAGTAGTCAAGTATATACTCTAGTGTAATAAATCAGTCTGTAATTCCTTGATTTTTTTTGACATCCCTGGACATAAAAATTTACAGAAAAGCATACTAGAGAGCATGCAGATTGATGGTTTTCTTTAGCTGAAATCATTCCCAATTTAGGAGTGTTGATTTAATTTTTTAAGATCAGGTACTGTAGATAGACTTCATGGTGTTTTCAGAAGCAACTTCTATAGAATAATGGCCTTTTAAAAGTCTGTCTACAGTTCATGACTTGTTGCACTCTCTATTTAGTTAAGCACAAACAATTTTTTTTTCAAATATATTACAATAAAATACAAGCAGATAGCAGCTTTTTGCAGAGGATGGTAGAATACAGGTGAATCAACAGCATAGCTCATAAATGCTTTGGTTTATTTTTATGAGACTCTTGTCAAAACCTGTGCATTTTTTTAAGGGAATGGGTCTTGGAAAATTCTGTTGAGTGCAAAGTTTTAGGTTCTTGGAACTATAAAGTTTTATTAGGTTATTGGCATTATAGAAATGGAAGGTTCTTTTCTTTTAAAGAAAGGTAATCTAAACCACTTGTCTTCCCAGTGCAGCTTCAGACAATACTCACTCATCATTAATAGATGTTTATATAACTTTTTCTCAGGGACCTGCTTTCCCTGTCAAACTTGATCCTGGAACCTTAACCTTCTTCCTGCAACTAGAGCCATTCCTCTTTTTTAAAATTATTTTAAAATTATTTTTCCCCAGTAACTAAATAAATACGGGAAAAAAAACTATCAATTCCTTTACACAGGCTTACAGATCATAATTTCTTCAGTTCTTTTTTTCAAGCATCACCATTTTCATTACTTGCATTTCTGAACTTCTGTTGACCTTCATTGTTCTCTCCAGCTGTTCACTGTCCTTCTTGAAGCAGCTCTCACACACCTGGATGTGGCACTGCCTCAAAGATGTAATACAGCATAATGACTGAATCTTTTGTGATTTCCAGCCTGGATTTATGCTCCTGGTTCCTCTTGCAGTGTTTCAGTTTGCAAAGCTTGCAATTCTTGGTAGTTACTCAGCTTTCATCTCACACTCTAAGCAGCTGCTTGGCAGCCTGGCTTCATCTAGTGCATTATTCTTGCCTGTGTGCACTGTCTTGCATTTGTCTGTACTGGATAGCCTGCTGCTGCTGCTTCAGACCATGCTTTCAATTTGTCCAAATCACTCTGCATTCTAAACCCAGCTTCCTGGCAGTGGTAGTCTCTTCCCACCTGGTGTCATCCACAGGTTTAATAAAATTATCCACTACTCTCTCACTGTATGATGTATGGTGGACTATAAGATTAATACAGGAGGAATTAAAAAAGAGTTTGTCAAAAGGATTAAAGCTGTGTCTAGTGGTTCTAGCAGCGTTCCTCCGAATACTAAATCAGGAGCCTCACTGATGAAGTGTATGGATGTACAAGTACTTAAAGCCTGGAAAAGAGAAGAGATTGGGAAGCAATAGGAGAAAAAGAAACAACGTCTATCTTCCAGATAGAAATACAGCCTGACTTCCTGATAATGTATTAGCACCTCTAGTGACAGAACTAAATATTGAATTGGTGATAAGAGGAATAATTATTCTGATGAGGCTAGGTTCAGTTTTCCCATGTGTCTTTGTTCCAGGTGATTTACGAATGTCGGCAGGGTAGAAGTCTAACCCCTGACATAGCTCTCCTTTTTACACTGAGTTTTGATGATGGCTGTGTTGTCTTCCCTAGCTGACTGCCGTTTGTTGTACTGACATAAAGGAGAATTCTCTGTAAACCACCCCCAGGTGAACTATGACTGACATGGTGCTGCTCTCAGGAAAGTAGACCTGAGTTCCGTCGTGTCTGGATCAGAGAGAGAACATTTTATAAAGGGCTCCAGAAATACATATGTTATTCTTTTGGTACCTGGCAGGCTTAGCAACACGGGCATCAGTAAGTCTTGTAAGTTAAGGGGACTAGGTTGGTTTGAGGCTTGGGAACTGCCCAGGAATTCCAGTGAATCCTGCAGATATGGGGAAAAAAAATTAAAAGCCATTTTCGTTCACAACAGCACCAAATGAGTGCTGTAGAAACAGCACTGAAACAGACTGTAAGCCACCAGGCTGTTTCACAGTGTGATGTCTTGAATGAGCCTTCACATGGGTTTTTTCTCTTTTTGAAATTTAGTCTGTTATCACTTTTTTTCCTCAAGGTATGAATGGTGAAGTCTCTTTGGAAGAAGTCAGAGTATTGCACACTGGAAGATTTGTCAGCTTCCAATTCCTATTCATCCTGCTTGGCTCATGCTTTGGTATTTCTGTTTTGTGCTAAACCTGGATCTAGGATTATGTCCCACAGATGCAACTTTCTGGGCCCTCAGAGAAGACCTGAAGGGCCTTAGGAGGAGGTGAGTTCTCCCAGCAAATCTTCACAGCATCTCTGTTATCCGTGCTTTCTCCTCACTCCCTTACCTCCCATCCCAACAAAAAATCCCAAGGTTTATTTGTGAACTCTTGTAATTAGATCTGTCTGGGAGAACGACCAAAGTGTCAAGGTTTCAAAGAGAAATTCAGAAAAGTCAAGAGCAAGTAGAGACTTGAAAAGGGAAAAAAAAAAAAAAAAAAAAAAAAAAGCGGGTCTTTATCATGGTAATATTAATGAAGCCAAGCTGAAAAAGCCCAGACGAGGGGCTGGGTTACTGTACTGTGGAGTGCCAGGGCAGCATCCCGAGGGAGAGGATTAGGGAACCACGCACGCAGCCGCTGCGGGGCCAGCCCTGGGGCTGCTGTCGCTCGGGCATTTCTGGTCCTGGCTCGGAGCAGCGATGGAACAGAAGCAAAGCCCCGGCTGATTCCGGGCGGGGAGCCTTTGGGTGGGCAAAAACAAGGTTTGTGCGGCGGCGCAGGGCTGGGCTCTGTGCCCGCGGGGCTGCCCTGCCGGGCCAGGCGGGTTTGTGCCCGGGGACACGCTGGAGACGGGCGCGGTGCCACCCAGGGCATGGATGGACGGTGGGAATGATCCCAGCGCAGGAGCCCCCACGGCTGCGGAGGGCTCTGTGCACGCACAGCCCCCGGCTGTCCATCCCCTCCCGCGCCGCTGCAATCAGCCTTCCAATCAATTAGGCAAATTGGCTGCGGGAGTGAGCCATTTCCTACTCCTGGCAGCAAAGCCGGCTTGTGTTAACTCCGCATCTCCCAGGAGCCCTGGTCTTCTCCACCTTTTGGAGTTTTTTGTTATTTTTTTTTTTCCCAGAGGCGTAAAGGACTAAATTATGAAAAAGCAGAGGAGTTTCTAGTAATTGTGGGCATGCTCTATTACTGCAGACACCAAAATAATTTTGCTAAGTGTGGGAGGATTTTGGCGGTCCTTTGAAAAATTTGATTCAGAGGGACAAATATTCCAGTTAAGCAGTTATGGGAGTATTTGCTCTTTAAATCCCAGTCAGCCAAAGACACGGTGCACATGGGCAGATTCACATATACTCAGAGAAACTGGTACTGTATATATGAATGTGCTGGATGTATTTAAATCTGTAGGCACTACAGGAGGATATGATGTGCCACTTAACAAATACAGCTTCAAAAGTCCTGAGGACAGACGTCGCAGATAAAAACTAAGCTGCACTTTCCGTTGCTGTCATTCTTCATTGCAGGGAATGATTGTTACCAGGCTCTGCAAGGAGCTCTGCATAAACAAGTCACCAAAGTCTCCAGGACTCCACGTAGGCACAGGCATACTGGGGGGTCATTGCCAAAGGATGTCACATCTGTTCCTAATCATTATTTTACATATATCAGACTACTGGTTTCTCAGATTGTTTCCAAATATGCCACCAGGCTACATTGTTCTGTCTGATTCTTGTCCGATTCTGTCTGATTTGCTGTTTCAGGAGTTTAGCTCACTCTAACTTGTAACTAGTGCTACGTATGGGGCAGAAAAAAACATCCCCACAGTGCGGTATCAGCTGCTTTCCAAAGTGTGCAGCTGAGCAGCCCACCAAGCATATGGCCCTGCTCCCGTTTCTTTCTCTGCAGTCCTACCCATTGCTTGGGTCTCACTCAAATGGAACACAAAATGCTGAAAGTGATTTAGAATGAGTCACCCTCACCACCAGTATTTTATAAATTGAAAGTGGACCCTGCATTAAGAAAGATTCCTGAAATCTTCTGAAGCTCAGCTCCAGAGCCTTAGCTTACAGTTGGTCCTGGAGCCACTCAGGAATTTTAGAGATCAAATAACTCTCATTAGAAATAAAATAACCTTTTTGCCGTTTTGGTGGTGTTTTTTTTTTTTTTTGGTGGGTTTTTTGTTTGTTTGTTTTGTTTTTTGTTTGTTTTTTTTTGCTAGATTTGCTTCCTTGAAGATGCAAATAATTCAAGTTATTGAATTCACACAGAAAAGCAAAATAAAGACCTCAATGAATTTGCCATCATATATAGAAATAAAAATTAAAGTTTATTGAAACTAAAAGTTGCTACTCAACTTTTAATAACAAATAATTACAATTTATTTATTCATTGTAAATTACATGTAGATATACATTTCATGCATGAGGGATGCTGTCACACAGTAAATAATGAAAAGCAGAGCTTGTTAGTGACAAGTCATGTTTGCTTGCTGGACCAGTCAGCAGAATAGGGGAAGTTATCTATTTGCAGGTATATAATATAAAACCTATATTTTATAAAGAAAATTACATCTCTCTACAGCTATTCCAATATGGTAAAAAACTGTAATTAAATCAATTTTTTTTTTTACATTGGATCTTTTTTTGTCCATGCACTTCTGAGTCCAATGCAATACTTCATCCAATTAATTGAGTGAATAGAAATTTCAGGAGGTCATTAAATGCCCAGTGTTACACAGTATTATACAGACAATGTTTATCTCCTGATTTAAATATGAAATTTCCTTTGGGTAAGCTCAGTTTATAATAGTCACAGTGTCTAATTTTTTTTTAATTTTTTTTTTTTACTTACAGTACAAAGCCTGTAAAAGAAGAAATATTTTTAACATGAAAGGCTCCTTTTTTATTTACATTCTTACTATGACATTTTCCAGGAGCTCAATTACTTGTATTATGTATGAACATATTTAATATTGTATTAAGATATATTCAGGTCTTCTGAAATCTGTCTAAAAGAGCAAGTAGCTCCACTATTTATCAGATCTATGTACAATTTTAAAATATGTTATTATACTAACTTTGATTTACAAGTATTTGTTTTTGTTTCTCCATTTGCAAAATGATGGCAGGGTGTTATTCACAATCGTTGACTACCAAAACAATGGGGAAGAAAAGTCCCAAATATTAAAAATCATTAAAATAACTGGTGCTAGCACTCCCATGTTCTCAAAAAAAAGAAAGAGGCTAGACAAATTTTGGCAAAGGAAGGTTATACATCTACTTCATTTCGTGTTCTGTGTCGCTTGAATGAATACATTTCTGTTGGACCAAAAGGCCTTAGAGACAGAGAACCAGATCAACATAAAGAAAATCCCAGCTGCCTTAAGACCAGATCACTGTTTTCGCATTTCGAAGTCTTTTTTCCAGCTACGAGAGCAATAAAACAGAAATGCAATGAATCTTGTTCTAAGCATGTGAGCTGGAGGATCAGAGTGGTGACTGGTATTTGTTGTTAACAGAAGTTCTCTCCTAGCAGAACCCCAGTCTTGGTTAGAAAGCTGATGGATCTCACTGCAAACTTGAGCTTAAGCTTCACTGAAGCCTTTGGAGTTCAGCTGGCTTCTTGAGAGAGCAGCTTCAATGTTTTGGTGGGTTTCTCACGTGTGCTAATGATCTCAAGGACAAAGTCACAGTGAGGCTTCGTTTTAGGTAGAAAGCTGAGCTATTTAAAATTTACCCTGACCCATGTGTCCTTCCCTGTGACACAAAACCTGTTCCCGTACTTCAGCTCTGATGGAGTACTTGCTTTTATGACAAAAGACTCAGTCCTCCAGAAAAACAGGAGATTGTTTGTAGTTCTGGGAGAGAACTATAACAGCCCTAGTATGCAGAGGTGCACTTTTTTAGGCTAGAGCTAACTCTAACCAAAACTCTTATTTTAAAAATTATTTGAAAAAGTATGCTCCTGGTCAGTGGGAAATCTGCTCAGAAGACTGGAGGGGTAGGAGTTCACATCTGTTTTCAACCTCTCCCTGCTCTGCATGACTTTTATTGAAAGAAAATGAATTCAAAGAAATTGGCAACAAGCACAAAGAAATACATTTTAAATAGTTTTTGGATGTACATTTCATGTTTTGTAACCCTACAGGTTAGAGATGCTGTATTCTCAAGTATGAACTATCAAAATAGTTTATTTTTTCTAGATCTTCTGGGCTTTGAAAATGTGGTTTAATATCTTAGGATATCTAATACCTACAGATAAACCTTTCAAGAAAATTGTATCAGGACTTATGAGTCCAGAACTCTAGGAAAATCAGGAGCAGTAAGCTTTTTTTACTGTAGTACATCATAAAGAGAAATTCTGAATATTTACTACTAAAAAGATAAATGAAAATCAAAGGGAAAATCTGAGAGTACAGGCCCATTTTGTTTAAATTAATTACTGATTTAGTTTAATATATCAATGACAGATATTTGACTAATGAACCATTATTTCAAGAAATAGAACAAAGCAATAAATAAATATTTCCTTTATTTAGCTAATACTTTACTGACTATCAAAACCAGCAAAACCCATGAATGGCTTGTGATAATCTCAGGCTGTGGGACATTCTTACTGAATTCAGGGATGTATGGCTCTTCTTGAGAAAGAAAACCTTTAAATACTATTTTTTCACCAACTTCTTTTGCATTATTCCTCCAGTTGCTTCTTCATATTATGTACTTAGCAAGCAGTATGCATGGAGGTATTAACTGTAAGTGTTACTCTGGTACAGGAAGCACACACAGAGTTGTAGCTAATTTTGACAGCATTTCTTACCCATTTTTAAGCACCTACTTTAAGCATCTCACCTTCTCTATCTTGCCTATCCCCTGTCACTTAATGGTGGGTCCAGTCTGTCAACTCAGAACTGAGTTAGCCATGAACTTCACTCCCCATGCCAACTGGCAGAAATGTACTTTCTTATTCATTCCAAAATTCAGTCTAAAATGATGGTCTAGGCAAAAAGATGGTGAACAGTTCCAGTAACTAACAGAAGTTTCAAGCCAAGGCTTGAAAGATGCATTCAGTTCTGAGCATGTTATTGATTGTGACTGTATTTGATCCCCTTTAGCTGTGTTCAGTATTCTGCTAGGAAGGTGCAGAATTGCTTCTCATTACTCAGTTTTGCTTTTCCTCTTATCCCAAGGCAGATTATTTGTTTCCAAGACGGCATTAATCACCAAGTGTCACTGAGAAAGTGAGGAGGAAAACACAATTACAGTTTTGGCCAGAAAGAAGCATTAGGAACAGCATTGCAAGAGATCTTCCAAAACATGCAAAGCTTTCTATGAATTGAGAAATTAAGATAATGGGGTTACAGAAATGTGAGTATACTTTCTCCACATAATGGTTGGAATCAGCATATTTCCTAGGTCATATTCCTAGATCATTCCTTTCTTGCAGAAAGCTCTAGCTGAAGTTTATGTCTCCAAGACTAATAGTAGTTCCTGTGAGTAAAATGCCTATATTCTTTCATTCTCTGACTGAAAGCAGAAACATGATTTATTATAAACAGTAAGCTCTCCAACGCCCTTTTCTTTTTGTAACTGATTCAGAGCAATGCAGTACTGAAAGTAATCACACATTCAAATACAAGTAGGTGTGAGCTTTCAAATATACTGAAAGTGAATATTCAGAACATCACATCCTGGTGTTTGCTTCTGATGTTAAAAACCTGCTGTGCAAACTAGGATGCATGTTTTCAAAAGTCTATAACTTTGTCATTTTGAAGCCAGATTTCTTCAAACAGAGCAAGGCACATATTTACTATCCAAGGATTTGTGCCATTTGTGCTGACTTTGGTACCCTTAACAGAAACTGATTTTGAAATTCCTTGAATGCAAAAGTACATGCAAATAAAATTTTCACAGCTCATTTTTAGATAAATTTGTTTAGGTGCTCTGAGAAATATTTTACTAATAGTTTCTCTTTGTTTGAGGTCTGGAAGAAGAAGACATGATCTAAAAACCAGAAGAAATGGAAATTAATTTATTACAATAGAAAACTTATATCTAATATAATTGTATTGCAAACATAGCACTATGCTGTAAATATTTAAATTAGGTCAATGAAATGAATTGCTTATAATGAGCATTTTCAGAGGTGTATTTTAAATGTCTTGCAGAAATCTGGTGCCAGTGTTTTAGCCTGACAAGAAATAAACCTTTGACTCTTCAGGATATGCCTCCAAAGCATCCAGTGCTGGTATGTTGCTCCTCCTCATTGATTTCACACAACTGTGTTTGGTTCCATTAAGTCTCTTGAACCAGGTTTGGAAGCTTTGTCTAATTGGAAGGGAGGTATGGATTTGACTTTGTACTCAGGTCTGAATACAGCAGCACACAGAGACTTCAACTCTACTGCTGTATAGACATGCACATACTGTTATTGGTACTTTTCCCCTAAAATGTAGTACTAGGAACTTTAAAAGCACAGGTTTTGGGAATCTGGTTGGGAGTAGACCTGATGAAAAATCAGAATTCATGAATTTTGAAATATATTGTCCTTCCCAAACAACAACAAAAAAAAAATCAACCAAGCAAAAAAAACCCAAAAACCCACAAAACAAAACAAAACAAAACAAAAACAAAAAACCAAACCAAACCAAAACAAAACAAAACACCAAAAAACCCCAAACAGAACAAAAAACCACCAAATTCCCCTCCACCCCCCAAACAAACAAACAAGAGTAAAATATTTCCATCGTTCCCCAAAAAAACCACTCAGGATTCAGTCTGGCAATAGGAACACTGAATTTTATTTGAAAACTCAAAAAGCCCCTCACTAAATCACTGATGTTCTTGGCTCTGATGGTGTTATTTTCATTTGTGTAAGGATACCAAGAGCTCTGGATCAGCTCAGTTAACCTATATTCTTCAGACTCGGAGGGGCTGTAACTCAAAAAAAGGGTAAGAAAGAAAAGCACAGGGTGCCTCTGTCAGGCTCCCACATCACCCCACACTCACTCAGGAATGCTCCACTGACCACTGGGGGCACCTCCTTGCATCATGCATAAAACAGGATGTGCAGTCCAGCCAAGGAAGCCCCATCAGAAATAAGCCACCATCCTTATGTAGAATCCAGCCACAATGCAGGTGTTGTACTTGACTCCAAACATTTAGACTGGTTTAAGAAACAGTAGTACTGGGACTCAGATTTGATTTAAAACCAGATTATTTTTTGTATTGATTTTTCCAATTCAAATTATACATATTCTGTGAGAATGCTTACTTTTGCAAATACTGCATTTTTCTCCCTTCTTAATTAAGTAGCAAAGTACTAAAGTATTTTTAAACAAGCTGGTGTAACTACAATGATGACACATCTCTTGTTCAGGACTGACTGATCCTATTGATTTACATGGCTTAATTCTTCAGCATAATGGTGACAATTTGTTTGGTTTTTTCACTTTAAGTAGCTAAATCAAGACTTACTGATTGGACTAATCGGGCAGATAAAGAAAAATCTCCTAAACTGGAAAGGAATTACTAAAATATATAAGCAAGAAATTATCTTTTTATTACTTCCCCAAAAGCTACATCAGGTACACGCTACTATAAATACTTGGAATTTTTGGTATTAATAATCATCCCGGCCTTACATGAAGACAAGAATTTTTACCACTCTTTAATCTTCTTTTTCTGCAGCAAATCTCTGAAGTAATTTTTCAGAATGGTTGATATTGCTGCAATTCAAAGCTTAAACTGCTGTAATGAAATTTGAGTTTCTCCATTTGAGATAACACACTTCCAGTCCTGAAAACTACAATACCAGTGATATTTAAATTTTGTACCACAACTAAATTGGAAGGAAAAGTGTAAGACCTTCCATGTACCAGTATGTGCCAGCAACAAAACTGAGTACAAATCAATAAATTCACCTTTCCACGAAACAGTAAAAATAAGCATATTTAGTATGTTCATGTTCTTGGTATGTTGCAAAACATGGTTTTTCAGTTTCAGTTTATAGAAGTCTTTATACCTCATGCATGAGTGGGCTGTTTTACACTCTCATGGAAATAAACAGACCATGGTAGCAGAGACAATTCCCTCAGCTGTATGAGAGAGACCAACTCTTGCAATAGGAGAGATGAGAACACTTTAAGGAATCAAAGATGGTAAGTGGAGAAGGAAAAAAACCCTCATAAATGAGTCACTATTTTCAACCAGAAATATCCACTGAGAGCTAGGACCTTAGAAAATGTAAAAGTTAATAATTTGTGATGGACAAGAAAATGCAAGAACTAAAGAGTTGTGTGAGATAAAACACCCAACTTTTACATATGAATAAATTGGTTCCCTCACTCTATAGAACATGAAAGGGACAAGCAAAATATTTTTCCTGTCGCAGCTGTAAATTGCAAGGCAAATTTAGCCAGGTACCTAAAGAGCCTTTATGGCCAACTCTCAGTTCATTTAAGCACAGATAAAGTCAAAGTGGCAGCAACTCCCCCTCAACTGTTGCAAAAAAAGCCCCACAGCAGGTATTACTAGCCCGTGTTTAGTGTCCACTGCTACACAAGCAAGGCTTTGGAGGGTATTTATCACACAGCAAAAGAGATTAAGGCTTGAACACCCTGGTTACTAGCAGGACAAGGACAAGTGTGTAAGGGCAGTGTAACTTCACTGCAGCAAAATGAATCTATAGGAAAAGTTCATTTTTTACTTCCAGAAATCACTGTTTGTTTAGTTTATCTTGCACAGATCAAAGCATGTCCTAAAACAGAGCAACTGAAATAATAAATGTATGAAAAGGGAAGCCAGCAATGAGTATTCACAAAAGAACAAAAATGAGATTGGTCAGCCTGTTTTGCAAGAACATGGCTATTCTGGTAATTCATGTTCATAGGAAGAATCTTCCCAAGTTTGATAGTGCTCTCTTTTGAGCCATGTTTTTTTTCAGATTTGATCAAGAAATTGAAGTTTAATCCAATTTTATAACTGAAGAGTTTAACCCCCAAGATAGCTTAATTTCCAGCTATGACTTTTAGAGTTCCAAGTAGAGCAGATAAAGAGCTGAAAAAAAAAAGTAATCTATGACCAGTCAAGAAAGTTTTCCAGCTTTCACTTATCTCCTAAAATAAAACTAAAAAGAAAACAAAAATTTTAGCAAAATAAGGTATCCTGTTTCTGTGCCTCGCTATCCAGGCAACAAGTCAGGGAATAAAAATGCTGTTTACAGCAGAGATGCAATCTTACAAAAGAAATTAGTAAAGATGAATTTTGTGGAAGTCACCTAAAATCCAGAACAAAGGTTGTAAGATTTTTAAATGGTATATTTCTGCACTTAAGTGCTAATAAAAGTGGGTACTAATTGTTAGGCCCAAGAGTTATATGGGAGGGACAATTAACATGTTGTTCTGTTTTTGAAGTATCTGTCTGCATTAACATAGGGCATTGTAGTGCAGATTACATTGAAATGCTGACTACTCTGCTGTAATATTGCTAAGAGGAAAACAGTCTTACAGCAAAGAACTGATATTAGTTAACTTAGAAAAGGTGAGTATTGCTCTGGTTTTGATATTTTAGATAGTCTGCTTGATAAGTAAGTATATTTATTAATTTCTCACAGGGATTGACATTTCTTTCTACAAATAAATGGTTTCCACTAGGAGTTTTTAACCTAAAGCAAAGCAGTTTTGTATATTAACAATACAAAAGTTGTGACACTAATGCCAACTTCTCCCTGCTAAATCACTCAGGATACAAAAAAAATTTAAGTTTTAGATTTTAGATTTAGAGCAAAATCATATAGCTGTTGGTCAGGTTAGTTTTCTTTGCAGCAGTCAGCCCCGTCTAAGAGAAATCAGAGCTTCTGACCTGCTGACAAATTACACTTAGATCAACGTGTCAAGATCAATGAAGTCAGTATTTCCTATAGCCTTGCCATATTAGATTTTCAACTTCACAATTTCGTATCTAGCTGTTTTTGTCCAAAGTGCCAAACAAAGAGAGGAAAAAGGGACAGTTAATTGTCACAAGCAGAGCAAAAGCATGTTTGCACATGCTAATCAGTTCCCTCTGTGTGTTTTCCTTTTCCCCTCATGGGTGCAGACAGAGAGTAGGTAGGAACAACAAGGAGCAACTTCCAACCCGACAGCTCTGCTTCTTCCATCATTTCCCCTTCCCCTTTGTTCTCTCCTGCAAACAAAGAAGTTTCTCCTACCGGGCTTCTCCTCAGCCTACCAGATCTGGCTCCTTTCTGCTCCCATTCCCCCACTGCCCTGTAGTCCCTTCCCCCACTGTCTCCTGCCTGTTCCCACTGGTTTTCCATCCTCCCTCCCATCACTCCTGGCTCTTTGTTCCCACAGGGCTCTGGAGATGTGCAACAGGAACTCAGCTCTTTCATTTTATTTCTTTTTTTCTTTCTTATTCTTTTTCTTTGTCAGGGAGAAAATATGGAACACTTGAAGCCCCACTGACTGCATATGAGAAGATAGCAAAGAAGCAACCACCATGTTCCTTAAGAAAATGCTATTATTAAACACAGCCACTTTTTCCTTTAGAAGAAGATCCACAAGTCCCAAGAAAGACAGTATGCAACTTGCATGCAGCTATGACAGATTGCTGTGTAAGTGATCTGTACAAAACTAAGAGCTTTCCTTCACAGCAAGTTTAACAACATTTTAAGAAGCACCTTTATACCTGTAAAGGAAAGTGAAGGAGGAGGGGTGATGTTGTCTCATAAGTTTTTCAGAGAGCTCTTACACATAGAAATAATGAATGTATTTTCAAATCTGTGTACAGCTGCTTAACAAGGAACTATAGCTTTCTGTAGTGGAGTACAGCAAGACCTCAGGTGCACAGTATTAAACTGCTACCATGAAGGTGGGCCAGATAAGAGTGCTGTATTCTCTTTGAAAAGTAAGAGAAAGCACTGCTATCATTTTCTCAGCTTTGGAAGGGCAAATGCCAAATTTTTCATCAAAAACATAAAAAACAACTTTCACCACCACCATATTTTGCTTAGGAGCATAACTGCAAAAACAAGTTAAAGCAACCAAGAGAAAATGTTTACAAAGTGCTATGTCTGTTCTCACCTATTTGAAAATTAACTCTATCCCGGCTGCATCCAGGACATAAACAAAAGTAGAAATGGAAATGAAGCCCCTTTTATTTCAAATCATTATTCAAAAGTCCTGTCTGCTTCCAGGCTATGCTTGAGATAATCATCTATTACTTAAAACTGAGGTAATGGAACAAGCAGCAGTCTGACCAGAACAGCTTAGATTGCATGGCAGTGCTGAGGAAGCTGAAGGTGCCTACAAATTTGTTATCCCTAATATCAAAGATCAAAAGAGTAAAGTGCTGCTCTGCAGCACAGCACATAAATTACTTTATAAGGGAGCTCTCATGCATCCTGATGGGTCTATGAGAACTGACAGACACTAATAGGCAGTAAAATAATTTCTCTAGAAGTTCACTTCTGCTGTTTGTTTGCATACCTCTCTGGGGCAGAAGTGAAATTTGCTAGTGTTTCCCCCTGAATCTGCCTCCCATGCATTGAAAACAATGAAATTCTATTTGAATTAGGACAGCAGGAGAGGCAATTTAAAGGGGCACTAAAGATTCAGTCTCTTAATCACAACTGTGACAAAATGCTGTTATCCTTGCCGGCAATTCCCTGGCAATTTACAGTACACTAGTGTAAAAGGAGGAGACCTTGCATTGCAAAGAAACCTGACCAGATAACCAGGTCTTCATCTACTGATTCCCCTTTCCTGGCACTGCTGCACATCCACGGCATCACCAGGTACTCTGCCACCCTGAAGCAATTCGGGAGCTATATTCTGACCCTGACATTGAATCTAAAGTTATTTAGAAAGCAAAGTCAGTGCAGAGGTTGGCTCCTGAATAACCCATTTAGCGAGGAGGGCATTTCAGTAGGGCTGTGTGAATGCACACCAGCAGCCCCATTAGGCTGCAGCAGCACCTCAAGCGTTTTTACTATTGGGGCAACCTAAAACCACTCTGCCTGAACTGTGCTTTCTGCTGCTCCCCAAAAGGGACTCCCTTCCTGCATATTGGACAGAAATTAAATTGTTGGGCAGGTTTCCCCTGCAAGGTCCTGGAACCCTAGGTTGCTCTAAGTATAGCAGTTGTTTTAGGATATAAGAAAAGACATACATAATGAGGAATTTAAGAAAGATCTAAAGACTTTGAAGATAACATCCCAAAATAAAGAAGACTTAAAGAAAGAATTAGGATTTTTTTTTCTTTCATGTAATTGCTGAGCTGATTTCCTGCTGAACAATTGCTCAAATGTAACAAAAAAAAATTGTTGAACTGACAATGGTAAGTTAAATAAAGGCATATTTTTATAATCTGCATGTAACTGAAGCTAATTTAAAATATAAGGAAAAGCAAGTAGTGTAAAGCCAGGAAAATACCCCAAGGATCAATATGATCTTCAAAAGATTGTGATGTTTTCAACAACTTGTTAATTGCTGGTATATCAGTAAGTGCCAAACCCAAATCATTGTTTCAAATTATGTTCCAAAGCAAAACACATGGAAGTTGCCAACCTCTTTTAAGCAACAAAAATAAAAGACTCCACATACTTATGAGTGATTTTTGAATTATTGTAATTCTTATGACTCTCATAAGTTGCATTGGCTCTCAAATGAATCTCTGCTTTCATTACCAATCACTGCTGTTTAAAGGCCTTGAATATTTGAATCTTAGAATTCTTCCTGTGAGATGCTTAAATAAATAGAAACTGCAAATATGTGTTTTTAGCCTTTAATCTGGTCACTTTTGTCAAGAGAAATACTATTAAATTACCCTAGCTGTTCTTCAGGCAAAACTCTTAAGCCATCTATTACCCATGTTCCTTTAGGCTGCAAACATTCTCAAATAGGTTTGCCTATTTCTTTTGCTTCTCTCTTTATAACTAGCTGATGAGAAAAAGCAGAAGAAATGTTAAGTGTGATTAATTTATTTTAAAGCATATTGTTAAGCTAGCATCCCTTTCCAGAATAGCAAATTTCTGCTGACAGCCTTTTTACACCAGATTTTCAGCCAGTTTTCCATGAGAAGTTTCCAGCATCCTGTAAGAAAAATTTCCGTTTCCTGTGAAGTCTCCTGGAGTTGTTAATTTATGTAGAATGAAGAAAGTAATTTCAAAACAGATATGAAGTGGGCAATTGCTTTTCCCTTCCTGAGGTTGCCATGGGTTTGTTCTCTTGAAGGAGAGCCTCACCTTTCAGTTGAGGACTTCCAGCAGCAGGAGTTTCTCTGGTGCTGTGCACAGAGCTCTTCACCTACAAGTGGAAGGGAAGATAGAGTCCCTGCAGCCACTTCAGGATTTCTACTTGGAAGCCTAGTAATGAAACACTGAAGTGAAAATAATTAGAAGTATTTGGAATTCAGTGTCAAAGTTTCTCAATTGAGACATCTCAAATATATCCATTGAAAACATCGTCCTACCCATTACTGTTCAGATACTCTTCAGTATTTCTGTTCAAATGGTGTATTAGCTGGTCTGAGGCTGTTGAATATCACTTCTAATAGTTCATAGCATCCTTTATAAATAATTTGTTTTCTGTAGAATTTCACATTGCTTTCTTAACTGAGATAATTTGTAGACAATTTTGTAATTAAAAAAACTATTTAGAAACTGTGGATCTTGTTTTGAATTGTGCTTGAAGTTTAATCAAAATTTTTATGGAGAGAGACAAAACTTATCTCCAAAACCATTTTAAATATGTTAGGGATCACTGTTTTCCTCTGGTATTGCTTTGAGTCAGAACATTGACAATGTTAAAAAAACTAATTTTTTTGGGAGAAAGACTCAAGGGTAAGATTTTATTCTGTTTGTATCCTTCCAATTATTTTTGCAAGGCTCTCTGAAAAATGACTGGTTGTCTTCTCTGTCCTTCAGGACAGCTGGTCGATATCCATAAGGCTTCCTCTTGGAAGGAAATCTGGAATTCTGTGTATTTAATTGTTTTTTTCTATCTTCTTGGGTTTTTTTACTAGAATGTTTAAGCTAAAAATGTATCAAAATTCTGTGGTGAAATTTAGGCATGAGAATCCAATTAAATAACTTAACTTCTCCTTAAAATTGCTTTAACCAGCATCATTGAGCATATCACAATGAGTTTGGTTAGTAAAGCTGAGACTATGTTTTCTGAGTCAGAGAGCAGGTGGGAAATGGGGGTTGTGGGGGTGGAATTATTCTGGTTTTCTACAGTTCTTGACTTTGGTGGGAATTGTAGGTATTTAGCACCCCGGATTAACAGGTAACTTATTTAGGTGTTTAATTGTAGGCACTCAGGCTGAATTTTAAGTTATTTTTCTTCCTTGAGTTTAGATATAAGTGAGTAGAGGGTGGCATTTTATGCCTTGTAAGATATAAAAGCATGGAGGGAAAGAACTGGTTTGAGGCTGCATATCAGGACATACCTAGAAGGAAAAGGGTTAAAGATAAGCAGAGTAAAATGCGTGCCCCATATGAGAACAAAACTTGCAAACAAGATAAATTTGTCTATAAGAGGGTTTTCCAAAGCAACCAAAGAAAATGTTGACATTCATGGACATCCAGAAGTACTCTGGGAAAAAAAAGGAGACATTTCCTGAACCCTGGATAGAAACAATTTTCATCTCTGATATTGTGTCTGAATATTCGGTGTGAAACAGTGATTTTGCTTGAAAATACATAGGGCAGCCAAAAGCTTGTAGCCACTTGTGCCTTGCTGAGAGCTCAGCTTCCATAAAACTGAGCTCCTTTAAAGAAGGTGCCACGCTGTCAGCACATCTGTCTCGAGCAAGGGAAGGAAGCACTGAAGGTGGAGGATTGCTGTTCATTAATTGCATCATATTGAGCTTCCAGGCAGACTTGAGACGGCCAAAAGGTGGAGATTTTTAGGTTCCTCCCCCTACTTTTCTATCTCCTCCCCCCTTCCCAAAATAAGTGTTTTGTCAAAACCGCCTTGTGGCAGAGCAAGGGTTTTAAAAGGAAAGTCAGGAACAAAGCAAGAATTTTGGAGACTAGGTTAATTCCAATCCTTTCTTTTCTGAAAGGTAGACTTGTAATGTGTACACTCTATCAAGTTACACTTCTTTTTCACTGCTACTCAGGGTGCAAATCCAAAAAAAGCTAAACATATAAGCAATAATAAAATAGGGTCACGAGTCATCATTCAGCCTTGTAAGTACAAGAGTTTTCAGCTTCCAGTCGTTGATCAAAGAATAAAAATTATAAGAACTGGGGATATATTCATACTTTGTTCCATTTTATTCATGTGTGGATTACTCATGGAAAATTTTCCTCTGCTTTCAATAGAAATATTTCCGAGTTAAAATCTGTAAAAACTAGCTGATACTTAAGTACTTTTTTAGAATTAAGGATTCATTAATAAAATGAGTCTGTGGGTCTTACAATTTCTTTATTAGAAATGTATACTTGACTAATTTACTTAATATTGTGCCAGTGTTGCACACTGTAATCTTGTATTTCTAGATGTAAAATGTAGTGAAGACTTTTCAATGCATCACAGCAGTTGCTTTGTGAATGGAAATATATTTACTGCAAGTGTAAACAACTAAATGTGTGAGACAAGACATCTGCCAAGGATAAAGTCTTGAATTAAATCCTATTTTTATCAAAGCTGTCAATGTGTTATGGCTTGAACTGTTTTCTTCCTAACAAAAAGGTGCCTTGAAATTATTTTTCTACTGCTTAGATTGACCCTGTCCTTGACATCTGGACAGACAGAAACAGGAAATTAATTCTTTGGGATACGTGGCACCTGCCACAAGATTCTTGAAATGAAATGCACCTGAAATTACTGACTTGGACAATATTGAAATCTTTCTTCTGGCTTCTTTAAAAAAAAATTTTGCAAAGCCAGTGTTAAATTCAAATAACAAACTGTCTATGGATAGAATTGGAGAAGGCTTCAATTAGTGGTGTTTTTTACTAGTATAAAACAATGAATATAACATGATTGAGATTGATTTAAATTTTTTTAAATTCAGCTTCTGAAAAAAAAAGCCGAAGAAGGCAAATGAATATTTGCAATGTGTCTGCAAGTTTATTAATGTACTACATTAGCAGGGATGTAAGTGGAAAGTCCATGACTGAATGGAGAAAGTCACATTTCTGCAGTGTCCCCAAGGCATTCCTGGCACTGCCTCCTATGGCACAGGCAGTAGTGGTTTTACATGTTTTGGTCTCCACACATTTGTTATACTCCTCATTCATCATCTCTGTTGTACCTGCATGTGGTACTGACAGCAAAGACTGCTAGATAAAAAGGTAGGGCTTACATTATTCCTTTTACTGGTTTGGAGGTATTTTGTTGCTTATACTTCTTTTTTTTTGTTGTTGAGGATTTGTTTTTTTGTTGTTTTTTTTTTTTTTTTGTGCTGTTTGTTTTGGGTTTTTTAACAAATGTAATGTGCAAAATGAACCAATGTCTGCAGCATGCTGGAACTAAGTGTACTAAAATGAGCACTTTGATATAAACACCAGTGCTCCAGAAACATCCAGCAGGAAAAATGCAGCCTTGTTAGAAAATCAAAATGAATTTGCATTACCAGACATCAAAGGTTGTGAATTTTTGTTTTGACATGTAGCTACTCTTCATTACTTGATGCTTGCTTGCATTAAAAATAGTTCTAGAGAAATATTAGCAATGAAACTTTCTGTGTAATATTTTCACTCTGAAGGTTGCTAAAATGAGATCTTGAAGACTTGCCTGAAGTGAGGCAGTGAGTCAGTAGACCCCAGAATCAGCTCTCCTAGCATTAAAACACTTGTGCTGTACATTATATCAATATTTTTCCCATATCTGAACCTGTTAGGTGGCATAAGGCCAAAAGAAGTGGCCAAGATTCAGTCAAGAGAATTTTGTCTGAATTCAAACCAGGAAACCATAAGGAACATTTGTGTTTGTCAGAACTTGATGGGTATGTTTAATGCAAAAAAGGCTAAAGTTAGCAAAACATTCTACATTCCTCTTGGAGCCACAAGCAGAGAACCACAAGCATGTCTGTAGGTCCCAGAAGGTGCTCTCCAGGTCTGAGCCCTGTGTGACAGGCAGAAGCTGGCATGAGTTTTTCCTATCGTCTCTCTGAGAAGACCAACAGGAGCTTCTTTGAGGAGCTGTGGTGTCAGCAGTTTCTGATTTCTTTACCATTACCACTTTCCAATGAGTATTGCCTCACTTATTTATTCCTTGTCCAGACTTAAATTTAATTTGTCATTGGTGTGACAGTCCTGTTCTTCAGCTCTGTGGGATCCTTCTCCCACGTATTTCCCCTCTGAACAGACCTGTCCAGCATGGTGTGCAACATGAGTGCTGTGCATGTGAAGGGAAAAAGATTAGCAGGGAAATATGATGGTGGCTTGATTAATTTGGGAATATTTCACTTTCTTAAAAGTAATAATATGAAAATAGTTAGATGTGGAGAAGACCTTGGAGAAGTGAGTGTGGGTAAGATGAAGAGTTAGATATAGAGAACCTTTACCTAGGAGTTAGGCATGTCACATACAGCTTGGAAGGAATACATTAAATGTGTGCAGAGCAGTGTAAGAAAGGGTACAGTGGGCAGACCTAGAGAGTGGCTCAGCTGATGTAGGAGCATGCTACATGTGAGTTCAAATAATCCCTAGATGGAGTTAAGTTTCTGTCCTTTCCACTGAATCTGCTGCACCAACACGATGAAAACAGCATCAGTTATACAAAACTGTTGGTGTCAGTCAGTGGAGGTTATCTCAAACGAGATAAAGAAAACAGTTTTCTGTCTGAAAGCTTCCTTGATGATGAAAGGCAGTGAATTTGTTTTCAGTAACCTCTCATTGCTGAAGCTGTCCAAATCCTTTTATTTTGTATGGATGAGGGAGTTACTCAGAGCAAGAAATCGGGAAATAATTTTGTCAGTAAAGAATTCAGGAATGGCTGTAAGTTTTGAGGTCACATTCAAGGCAATTACTAATTCCAAAGCATGAGATAATCCAGATTTAGACAAAATTGACAGATGAATACTAAAAATATTATCTTTACTTATAAAGAAGTGCTCATTAACACTGTATTTGCCTTTCTTGTGGACTAGTAAGGAGAAGGGAAAAAAAAGCACCTAATAGTAAAGGAGGAGGAAAAAACCCTCACAAAACAATGGAAAAGAGATTGATTTGGTTTTTAAAATTCTGCAGTTACAGATTAGGACTTATATTTCTTTATGTAGATGTGTTAAGATTTTATAGCCATGAAGCACCCAGTTTGTCTTAAGCCTTAGAGTAATCTTCATGAAATGTTCAACGTAGAGGAAAAAAAATATAGATTTCCAAATTCCTCAAATCTTTTATTGATATTTAAAGAATTGTGAAAGAAAATTTGATTCTTAGCACTGCATAGTTTTATAAAGAGAGGCATATGCTTAGGGAAAAGATTAATATTTCCAAAAAAAGTCTGTTTTGGTCATTAATGCCAGCGAATATGAGGACTTTTGTCCTTAAGACCTGAACAGTAGCTTTTTAACCTCCTCCAACGTATCTCAGCAAGGAAAGTTGAGTTTACATTAGGGCCCTTTGGGAACTATATGGATTGAAATATAAGGAAAGGTGTTGTTTTGGTAGGATCTCCCAACAGGACTTTTGCTAGGACATTTATGATGACACTAGTACTTTCTGTCCACAGATTTCTAGGGTCCCTGCTTGAAGTAAAATATGTCTTCAGTGTAGGGTTGGGTGGTTTATCGGGTCTTTTTGTTTTGGCTTTATTTGTATATTTGGTTTTTCTGGTGTTGTTTTGTTTTGTTTTTTGTGCGTTTGTTTTGTTGTTTTAGTCTTTGCTTGGTTGGAGTTTTTTAAGTGTACCCTTTAGGCCAGGATAATGCAGTATCTATTATTATCCTACTTCTCTCTGCATCCGCTGCAGTCCCTGTTGTGCCTGTCCCTCTTTGCAGCTTTCAATGAAATGGCCTGTTAAGAGTGGTGAGTGGCTTTTGTCTGTGTCATCTCCTTGTTCCCATTAGTCCACACAGGAAAACTTTGCTTAAATAGCTCTTGTCATCTAAACAATATTGCTAAGATATTGAAAAAGATATTCTAGGTCAAGATATTCTACGCCCATGTTTGCTGATTTCATCCATCTTTGCACCAGACACTCTCTTAAGGATTCTCATGGGAGCTCCAGTTTATTTTGTTGGTTTTCCCCAGTTGATGCAGTCTAGTGCAACAGGCGCTGAAGTCACTTGAAGTTTGATCATTGACTTTCATGAGGGAAACCTCAGGATCTGAGCATTTGAGCTGGAGAGGGTACTTAGCAGTACTCAAGCAAAGATCTGACTAAGTCAACGGGAGTTTTGCCACCTTCCAAAAATGCAGGATGGCACTCTGCCTTTGCCCTGCCCTCCCAAATGCTAAAGGTGGAAAAGCAAAACAAACTAAAATCAACATGCTGTGCTCTGCTCAGACTGCCTGAAAAAGAAAATGTTTCTTAAAAACATGTTTGCATCAAAACCTGTGGAGAAAATAAGTTCTATTAAATACTAGAAGTAGAGATCCTGAAATGTACTTATCCCAGGGTCTTAATACCCACATTAATATGGACAATGTTATATGCTATGTTTTCAACATGCTATCATATCCTATGTAAGTATATGTTAGCAAGCTGGGGTTACAAAACAATGAGTTCTTATAAAGATCTCTTCCAACACAATCTTTAAGTTTTGTGTAAATCTTATATATAAGGAAAATTAAATACCAGATTAAACAAGATCCAGAACCTTCCTAGGAAAATGGCATTTACATGCACATCAATGTCTCAATATCAGTAGGACATTCCTCCCCAGTGTCCAGGAAACAGCAGCTGACAAGTAGAAAAGTACATCTCAGTTACACATATATAATGATAAATGTGTTCATTTTTCTTAAGGGGAAAAAGGGGGTGGTAAAGCAGTTTGCTGATTTCCTCAGCGAATTAGAAGTGGGAAGTTTTGACTTTTGGAAGGTGGATTTGATCCCCGGGCTCAATGGGTGCTGGCCCAGCCCGGCGCTGCTGCCCGGGGTGGGCACGGGAAGTGGCGGGGAGGGGACAGCAGGGACACGGATCTGGCACCAAATGTGGCGCTAATCCCGCGTGTCCCCCCCAGAACTGCAAGTTGAAAGATATTTAAACAAATACCTCCAAGATTTAAACACACTGACATTTCGCACGGCATCCTTAGGCGGTTAAAGCTGCAGAGGGGCAGCCGGTACCCTGGGACCGCAGGGACGGGCTGGTTCCCGCTGGGAAGGTGTCTGGGGATTTGCGGTGTCCCGGGGAAAAAGGTAGGGAATGACGGACAAGCCTTCCGAACACGAAGTAACAGCTGGAGGCTACTAATCTTCCCATGCAAGAGGGAAAGTATTGCTATAAATCGGGAATCTTTATAGCTGTTCGGCTGGAGGAAGTTTTTTGGCTGTAAACTGTCATGCACTGCAGCTCCCGCTGAAAAGACTCTGGAAGTGGGGAGTCCTCTCTCCTGAGAACCAAAGTGCAATTAAGATCAGAAAGAGGGAGGAGGAAATAAAATAAAGACGACAGGAATCCAAGCTGAGGAAAAACTTCATGGTTTTGGTCTGTTGGTTCTTTTGGAGTGGTTATTAGGTTGTTTTTATTT